GATACATACAAATCGGTTAAAACATAATTTTGGGTAAAAAGCTTGTTAAAACTTTGGGCTTTTTTGTTCCAGAGATGGACCGTGGATTAAAACCCAATCCGGGTATTGGCTTTTAATCCGCGGACCGATGGATAAGTCATTGAATTTGACGAAAGAGTACAGAAAATTTATCTCATTACTATTCGGGCAGGCGAGTTTCCCGACTATATATTATATTTTTTGTGTGTATTACTTACCTGTTCATTAACCATTTAGGTAAACAAGTATTTTTACTTCTTATTGGCTTTTCGCGATAAGCGTTTCAGCCACTTACAGTGTTTTGACTAAATTAAACTTGTTCATAAAACGAGGAAGCTTATTTTATCATAGTAATGAAATTTGGAAAATGTTAATGGGTAATTTTTAGTTTAGTTTTCTCTACCTAATTTCGATGACAATTTTAATATTGTCCAAGTACCTATTCAAGTATATTATCGTGAAATATTAAATAATATTTCAGATACTACACTTGAATATTAAAGAATATTTTATGATAATAATCTAGAATTACAAATTGCCGCCGAAATTAGGTAGAAAAAACTAACCTGAAAATTACCCAAATGCTTACTTGTTTAGCTAGTGAACATGTGTAAATTTACGCTATAATTCTTGGTTTTTTGTTTGAATATTTTTATCAGTTGATCATCATTGTATGAACAACGTTACATCCAACTATTATCTATGAAGTCCTTGGTTACATTTCCTACTATTCCGAATGATGATCGAAACGCCCTACTGCGAGTTATGTTACTGTTAAAGTTACAAAAGCGCAAATTAACGAATTTCCCGTATTAAAGCCTTCTCAACCTTACCTTTACGGGCCAAAGCCTAACGAAGAGCGATTTTGTATGATAGGTATGTTTATTTCCCTTTAGATATTTATACTTACCCTACCATTTAAAGACACAAGACAGTGCCGTTGCAATGGACATAGGGCACTTGCCACAGCACCCAGTGCCTAAATACTGCAAGTGTTATAATACTGTTACACGTTCTGGCCAATCTTGGGTCGCGACATGAATCTTCTCCAGTGGGTTATGCTTCGCTTGTTTGATGCAGGACCCGCTTTAGAGAATCCAAGTTTGGGTGGGACTTTTGGCAGGCGTGGAGCTCTATTTCAGTCCACAAAGAATAGTCAAGTGGGTTAAGATCAGGACTAGAAGGTGGCCATGCTTCCGCCGCGATGAAGCTGGGCAAATTCGTTAAGAGAATATTTGCCGGGTTTGAGTCGTAGGCTATTATGGGCCGGCGCTGAGTCTTGCCGGAAAATACATTCTTTGTTGTAAATAAAGTATTGACCCCTGTGGGTTTCACCAGTCTCTTAAAATGCCACTTTGATATTTTTTTGGTTTCACCTTAATGCTTTGTTGGAAAAAATGGAGCGGAGTGACACGTTCATACCAAACCCCCCCACTATACCGCCACACTCGGTGATGGGTAAGCGAAAAATGTTGTGCTGAAGTTAGAACATCTGCTGCTTTTAGCATAATTTATTGTTTTGTTGATGGAATTTTTTTTCGACGTGAAAATTTTTTCGTCGGTGAAGCGTACCTTTTCGCATCGTGTCCCCTAAGCAGCATCGGACAACGTTCGCGTCGTAATTTACGAAGGTGATCATTTAAAGTGAACTTTCCCACGACTACGCTTTTACCTTGAGATCGTATTTCAGTATTCTGTTGACTGAAACACGCGAAATGTTATGTCTATAAAGCGATTTTTTTCTGGGCGCGACATGGATTTCGGCGAAGTTGCTCTCTATGATTATTCTGATATTCGCAGTCGTCCTTACAGACCGCAAGCGACCACCCCTTTGGCGATCTTTCAGAGAAACAGTCACCTTGTAACGTTTTATGGTGTCATATACAAAGTTGCGGCTTAACCCAAAATATTTTATGTCACGGAAAATCTCCATTAGTATTTTTTTCCGCCATAAGTAGCGAAATTACAGTCGTAGGGTCGTATTCCAGAACTCTACTCATTACTCAAGTCAGGACTTGAGTATTGCAGTGTGCACTGAAAATCATACTCAAGTCCATGCCATTAGGGTCGTATTTCCAGTGCTTGTGTTTCCAGTGCAATCCTGACTTGAGCATTGAGTAGAGTTCTAGAATACGACCCGTAGAGTGGTCGCACGCAACTGTTTTGTTCCCTCCATCACGAGAAAAATAATAGAAGTTAATCATTGACCTACCAATAAAGTTAATATAAATGGTTCATATGGCAACATAATGGCACATAAATGGTTCCAATCGTACCTCTCCGATCGCAAACAATTTGTCCAAATAAAATACCATAACCCCCATTCAAGATCGATAAATCTCTGGTATCTGATGGTATCTCTGGTGGAATCTGCCAATACTCACATGTTGGGATCCATTCCACAAGGCAGTGTACTCGGTTGTTTGTTGTTCATCATTTATATAAATGACCTACCCAAAATGCTTGATGAACACTGCGTCCTCTTCGCAGACGACATCTCCATTGTATTTCCGCTTAAAGACGACGGTAACACATTAAACTCCCACATTTATACTATTGTAAATAAAGTTACTAACTGGCTCAGAATCCACAACCTACAATTAAATATCGACAAAACTAAATTAATGCAATTTCACCCTCACCAAAGGAGCAACCTTAATATTAATTTTTCATTTGACGACATAGCTGTAGATTGCGTAGGCACGTACATACTCCTTGGCCTAGAAATTGATACTCATGTCGATTGGAAAGTGCATACTCAAAAAATATGCTCCAAATTGGCTAGCTTCACTTATGCCCTATTAGAACTAAAAAAGACCACCGACCTTAAAACAGCTCTAAGTGCATACTACGTGTATGCTGACGCGTGGCTCCGATATGGAGTGGTATTGTGGGGCAACAGTACAGTAGTAGGTGATGTTTTTATATATCAAAAGAAATGCATAAGAATTCTGGCCAACCTTAAGCAGACAGAAAGCTGTAAACCAAATTTCTTAAAATTGAATATACTTACCCCGTCAACGATTTACATCCTAGAAACTAGCAAATTCCTAAGAAAATAGACACCTTTTTCCAAACGAACAACAACCAACAAACCTACGACCTAGACAAAGAATACCAATTCCACCTTCAAAATTAAAAATGCATAGTTCTGGCCCCTATGCCATGTGCATAAAAATATATAATAACATTCCCAAAGGCATTAAAAATGAGGTGAACAATAATTCTTTTAATAAAAAACTTACACAATATTTGGTCCAAAAATGTTTTTACACGTTGCAAGAGTTCTTCGAGAGCAAAGACAAGATGTTATAAATAACAAATTATATGAATATATACGTGATTTAAAAAATTTATTAGCAGTGAATATTTCTAATTTTTACTTAAATAGTTAATTATTACTGTTATCGCCATTATTTGTATTCTATTGTTAGAATTTTATTTTAGACATTGATTTTGATTGATTACGACTGATATGAAATGTTAATTTATAGATTTGACAAGATATGATTAATAACAAATGATATTAATTTTATATGAGACTTTTAAGGATTGTTAAGAATAAAAATATTTTAATTTATCTATTTCTACATATACAATTAATCATTACCCTTGGTCTTGTTACTTCTATTTTATTAATATAATATTATTTTGATACTAATTTGACGATTATGACTGAAATTTAATGTTATTTTTTATAGATTATAACTTACAAGTTTAGTAATTAAATATAATTTAATTTTATGTTATAACTAATTGCTGTGCCCTGCAGGGTTACATGGCTGTACTTATATTTACTTTAAGAACATGTATATTACCCATGAATGAATAAATATATTTGAATGAATAAATAAATACATAAATAATATAAAAACCTACAAATAGAACACAAACATTCCAAATTCAAAAGTAAAAAAAAGAACTGAACAGCTGCCAGTATTATTTTGTTTTATTTTTTAAAGTCAAATTTTGTTGTAATCTTTAATACAAAGATCGAACACTCAGAAAAAATTCCTTCGATCCGGTCGGATTCGAAGCGACGTCTTCTTGCATACCGTGCCAGACGCTATACCAACTAAGCCACGGAACGGAACCAACGGACCCAACGAATTTTTCTATGTGCTTGCGTCGTCTTTGTATTTGGTTTTCAACGACTTTTTAGTAGTAGCGCCATCTATGAGAAATCTATGAAAGGTTTATCACCCAGTTAGTACCTTTACAGCTACTAGTCCTGGCGAGAGATGTCGCTATTCACTGTATTTTAAATTTTTAATAATCATCAATCTATATATCAATCAATAAAAAAATCAATTTTAATAATCATAAAGAATAATCAATATTTTATGGTACACATTTGCTGGACAAGAATTTCGAGATTTTTGTAAGAATTACCAACCTATATTAAATATTTATTTTTTCCCTACAGTTCACATTAATTTGATTATGTGTTTGGTGGTCCAAGATAATTGTTTCTAGGTATAAAATACGACCATTATTGTTAAACACTCATATATCGTCGGTTAAAAGGTAAAACTCACTAATAGCCTAATTGGCCAAAGGGAGATAATTAAGATTTTGTATTTTTTCATTATGAAAAATCACTAAAGGACTGGTATGTATTAAAACATGAAGGACACCACAGACTTACTGAATTTTTCTTGTCATAGATGTTCTTCCCAATAAAGCAAAATTGAAAAAATCTAGTTTTTGAACAAAATGTCACTTAATGAGTTTTACCTTTTAACCGACGATATATATTTATATTTAACAAAAGTATGTAACATTAATTACCCGAGAAAATAAAAATTAATATTTTTTTATTTTTGGTAGATCTAAGGATGTAAATCATTTAGAAACAGGGATTTAAGTGATAAAAATCATTGTATATATTAAATGTTGTATTTCTTTTTAAAGATTCAATTTCACAAGCTCACAATTTATATCCTAAGTGTAGCAGCTATAGACTAATGTAATAATGTACTAATGAGATTTGATCAAAGGAAAAATTTATCATAAAAATCTTTGTTCTTAATTCTAATTTTGCTTTATTTTTAAGTCAAATTAGAAATGCTAAAAATGTACTGTAATGTAAATGTATTTTAAGTACTAATTAAATACAATGCAATAGCTAATGATTTTGTAAATCATTGCATAAATATTAAATGCGTCGTTTTTGGAGTAATTTAGTCTCATCAGAAGATCGATCTACCTTAAATTGTAGTCCAATGTCACTGGTCAAAATAAGCAATTATGTAAAATACATATTTGAGGAGTTCAGTTTCAAAACCCGCCAAAACGATATTTGAACAAAAACATTGTTTCGCTTGAATATGAAGCGCTGTCATTCACTCTTTCTACTTGGTTTAATAATTATTATCAAATCCCGCTAAAATCCTAACAAATTAGCTTACAAAAGTAACAGTTTGTTGCAAACACCGCTAAAAGATTCCCAATGCGTTTCAAATTCCGCTAAATCCAAATCGACCAATCACAGCACGGCGTTTGCATCACGTGACACAACAAACAGTATGGCGATTTTGTCAACAAAGGGAAGAAGTAATGTTGATTTTTTATGTTTATTTTCAAGAAAAAATGGATGCTAAACAAAAGATGCTAAAACAAAAATTGCAATGGTTATTTTTCCGTAATTTTCAATTATTCTCCTAGGAAACCAAGTTCTTAAGTATTGCTAGTCTCAATATAAAGCTGTCACTGTGTTTTTCTAAAGATCTGGTTTAGAAAACTTTTAAATTTTTTTACGTTTTACTGTTACTTAATGAAAAGTGTTTTGGCGGGGTTTGAAATTGTACTCCTCATTTTTAGGTATATTTTACATTATTTTGTTTAAATGATTTGGTTTAAATCAAAATGTCAAACATCTAATCTTCCAAGATTCAGACATTTTAAATTATCTTGTGATCTTTTAAGATTTATAAACTAAAATACTAAATAAATTTCATAGACATAATGAAGCGCTCAAACAAATAAATTAAAATGCACCCAATCATGATCATGTTAAATTAAGTGGCCTTTTAGTAAAAAAGGCTAAGTCTTTGTTATAGTCTTAATTGTGGAACTATCTTAATTGGCGAGCTTGTAATGGGTTTCTTTGGACTTAGCTTGTTCGGTGATCTCATCACCACATCAACAGCCTTCCTGAGGATTTGATGCTCACTTTTTTTGTATTCTTCTGTAATTTGGGTCAGATCTAGATCGGCATCCAGCACCAGTACCTGAAAGGTAAATTGAACTCATATATATATTTATTTCATAGGTGAACAAATTACATTTGATTTAAATTTTAATACTCATTTGTAAGGCAGATTCCCTTAAGAAGAATGAGTAAGAAAGAAACTCTAGGTTATCATTTACAATACTTATGTCAAATATCATAGATTGAAACAACCTGTATAAGCTAAATGGGTCTCTACCAAGGATTGTTGTCATTCAAGTATGCAGATGTATATAACATTTTTATTTCACTATGCTTTTAAACCTCATAAATGGAAAATTTTGTTAATTTATGTTGATAGTGGTTACTCAAAATGTTTTGCAAAACATTCAACTTACATAATAATACAATCTTAAGTTGTTTAATTAATACTTATAGTTAGGGACGAAATCTGAATGTAGTAAATAATTTTATGTGGAAAGTAAACGAGATATAATAGTGTGATAAGATAACTATGACTAACAAGTCCAAACTTGTTGCAAAAATTGACTTGCTGATAGTTGCACCAATTCTCATCTGGATTAAATTTGACAATAATCTGCCCTATGATACCTATCATACATACCATATTCAAATTGTAATATTTATATTTATTTATATATAAATATTTATTTGTAAAAACATAAGTTGTATAGAAGTTGACATGTATGTAACAAAATAGTAGATTCCATGACAGTTTTGCTATGTCCACCTAAACATTAGGCATACTCCATATTGAAAGCATGTTATACATTTATTAAACACTATGTTTTTTAATTACTATTGCATAGACAAGCAGTCAGTATAGTGATAGTTATTTGGAATAAATTCATTGATAATAATTGTAAATTGTAACAAGATGTCGAAATAATAATAATAATTTGAAGTCATTGACTTACAAATAAATGGACGACGGGTCTAATACAAAAACCACGAAAAAAATGTCCCAAGTCAACCCATTCGAAATTTAAATTGTAATGTCATCGCAGTATCGCGCTGTCAGTAGAACAAATGAAGACTAAAGCGGAGTGTCGCGCTCTGTATACGATTTTAGCGCCTTACAAGTGCGGACACTTTTTAGCGCGGACCCGACGTCCATATAATTGTAAGTCAATGTTTGAAGTACATTAAAATAAATATTCAAAGTCATTGAAAAAGCTTGAAATGACACGGAACATTTTATAATTAAATAAGTTGTTTAGTTGCCTTTACATAGCATAGATAAGGACTTTCTCAAAACTTTCAGTAAATTATTAAATTTTTGGTGTCATTCCATAATATACTTGCACAAAATGAAATTTTTAATATACAGAATACTTACAGGTGCAGGGCAATTGCCATGTATCCTATGGACAAGCCAATCTTCATGTATCTTATGTAGTTCTTCTATGTAAGACAAAGGTATACATTGCTCCTCCGAGCGTGCCCGCTTCTTTATTCTTTCATAGACTACGGAGGGAGTGGTCTTCAGATATACTGTGGAAATTTGATTGTAAATAGATTAGTAGTTTGCTTTGCATTTTAAATTCAATAATTGAGAAAAGTGTTTTGTTTAAACTACAGTTTAAATTGCAGAACAAAAATTCTGTAAAAAAAAAATAACCAACAGACTCATATTTACCAATGAGGTCAGCTTGAATTGGTAGATGTTGCTGTATAAAACAGAACCATTCATCAAGGACTGCAAACTCTGCAGGATGCATGACGCCACTGCGCATCATGTGTTCAACGAAACAGTGCCGGGCACTATACACCGAACGTTCCATCAGTTTCACAGGGGTTGCCGTAGGTTGTCGATGCATGTCCAACATTGTCAAAGCCACATAGGACTGGAATGTCATCGCCCAGCGTGATGGATCTTTGTACATGAGATCCTAAAAGTTTCTCGGAGTTATTATCGTTCTAAAACCTTTGCAATAGTGTTATTATAAACTAGGAGCTAAACTTCCAATAGGCTACAAAACTGCTGAAGACCTTGACACCTAGTAATAATATTGATAAGGCTTTCCACATTATTGATTTCACAAATTTAGTAATATTTTTAGAAAAGGGGCAATATGTAAAAATTTCAGAATTTTTTTTTAATTTTCTTGCATATAGTTTTTAATATTTGTTTCCCAAAGTTAAGGTAAATTAGACCCTACCAAATGAGCATTTTTTATTCTTATTATTTTATCTCTATGCCTCATATTAATAATTGAGAAAATTAACCAGGAAATGTTTTAATTTACTAAGGGGTCAAGACTTCTTCTTTCCACTTGTAAACGATGCTGACTAAGAAGATTTCAATTAATTTTTTTTATGTCCTGCTTTCATAGTGCCCCCTTCGCCCAGCATTTCAATAAGCGTAACAATCGGGAAATAAACTGCGTTACATTTCTGCAAGTATATTAAGAAAGGTCGTAGGTTATAAGATTATGTCAGGAATATAATACATATAATCTTGCTGCGTTAAACAACGGTAATTTAAAAAGAAAGCCCTATCGATATTGTTACTAATTTTCAAGGTGTGTAGTATCAATAGGTAGTTTGACTTTCTTTTTGTTGGTTTACAACGATAAAATATTGTGCAATTAATCGCTATTATTATTTTTAAGTAAAATAGATAAAGATTAACCTTACCAAAAGATTCCATCCTCTAAGATCGCGCCACTCTTTCACAGGTTCTGTCAAAAGCGTGATGTCCTCAAATTGACGAAAATGTTCCAGAAAAGTTGTTTTACCACTTCCGATGTTACCTTCCACAAACACGGTAAATGGTTGAATATTTGTTGCACTCATTGTATAAAATAATCTGCCTACTGGAACTACTGGAAGAGAAATTAATACAATGTTATTAAAGTACCTCACGCCAGATGCAAGTTACAAGCGCATCAATTTCCCGCCCAAATTGTCACCCAACCAAAAATATACGACGCGCGAAAGATAGCCTGACGCGCTTAAGATTAGTAAATACAATTACCTTTTTTGAAAAATACTTGTATATGACGTGTTAACATTATCCAGTTAAATAAATAAAGCGGCTCTATAATACTTTTTCATAATAATAGAACGAATTAGGGTAATCTAATCTTGAAACAATGATAAATAAAAGCACACCGCATATAATTTTCGGCCATTTTGTTTTTGTCTATGGTAGTGATATTCGATCTTTCAGAATCTATCGTGACGACATGGCAGTTATTTTTTTCTGAACGTTGGCTGCACTACGACGTAAGCTAATGTTTGGATACACGCTACATTCAAGCTTGTGTTTTTTTTTCTTTTTTCATGAAAGTTACGTTCTTCGGTTTACTTATCTGCTGTTTCCGCTTTGTAAAAGTGCGCCAAAATACAAATCCACCAATGACGTTGATCCACGAGATCCATTGACAATGTTTGCCAAAAAATGAATTGACGTGTTTATTTCACGTTGTTTAGCCGATTCATTTATATATGCTTATTCTTCCTCTCATCACGATCTCTACAAGTAGTCTGTTTCGTAGTATAGTTTCGCTAAATTAGTGAACATGTTACACACATATTGCTTGGGTAAGTTTTGAAAACATTCTAATACAGCGTAGAACGTTATTTCATGGTTATTAAATAATTTCATAAACAGCCGGTGTTTTATGTTAATTGTGCATATTTTAGGTATATTGCTGCTCGTAGCGGGATCGTTAGCCCTGTACGACCAACCCTCTGACGTGGTGGAACTAACAGACAAAAATTTCGATAGTCTAGTCACAAATAATGATGATGTGTGGCTGGTAGAATTCTTCGCACCCTGGTGCGGCCACTGTAGGAACCTAGTACCTGAATACCAGAAAACAGCCAAAGCTCTCAAGGTGAGTACGTAATGGCTCAAGCATAGCTGTGTAAGAAATATTTACATGTAAGTTGACAAAACTTTATTGCGTAGGAATGGTAGTGGGAGTACTACGAGGTTCTAGAAAAGTTTAAGGTCCCATGGTTACATGGCCAATCTTATTAAACATGATCCACAATACTAGCAGAATGCATCCCTATTTGTGATGGAATTTATCAATACTTAAATTAGTGTCAGGGTTGTTCATCAGCTTCAGCATCCAGCAATGTTGATAATCATCATTGTCCGCCGTCTGACTGCACCCACTGCTGGGTATATGTCTCCTTTAGTTTGTGCTTGAGATGAAACGGATATCCGGCAACTATCCGGTATCCGTGAGAAAAATTCGTAATCAGTATGCCAAATAAATTGATTTATTGATTAAAGATGACAAGTAATAGAATATACAGCAATTACAGGATTGTTGACAATCTGTTTATTACTTGTAACTGAAAGAACTATGAGGTTAGAGATCTGAAAATTTAGCATGCTCAAATTTCAATAAAGGCAAATTATGGTGCATGAAGACCAGTTTTTCTGTAGTGGTAAAAGTCATCTTTTTATTTAGCTGTTAATTTTCATAAATACATTCATCTTTCCGATTTATTTGACAAACATTTTTCTGTTATGTATATGTTTGTATTATCTTCTTCTTCTTTTAAATGTTATGGCTCCATCGAAATAATCAATGATTTTGCCAATGTCAAGTAAAAATAACTGTACGGTAGTTTAACATTATTATAAAAATTATACAAAAAAAAATGGCGATTTCGCCAATGTCCTCTTTGTATTATCAAATAAATTAATTGTTTTTATAAAAACCAACTGACCACAAGAAATTAAATCGTTAATGTGAAAGTGCAATCCTTCACTAATCAAACAATCACGATGATGCGCGCTGTAAACTGGCCGCTACATGTTTACGGCAGTGGGTCAGATATCCGGCGGACGGATATCCGACTATCCGGCCTAAGTGCTCGCCGGATATCCGGCCAAGTCACTATCCGTTTCATCTCTAGTTTGTGCCATTCATAATGATGATCCATCTTGCTCTCATGATGCTGACAATAATAAAATGTATTGATGAATCATGTTTAGTATGAAGATAGTGCTGACATGCGCCAACTACTGTGATTACACCCTAATTGGCACTTATTTTGTTTACAACACTACATACTTTAGTAGGTAGGTAGTACTAGGTACTTAAGAAGTATTTATTAAGAAAAGAATAAGTATTAAGTATTATAGATTCCAACATCTCACAGAATTCCTGTCTTGTGTGAGAATTTTGTGACATGTGTATCATAATTTTTTTTTATATTGGAAATAATATAACAATATTTATATATAATAAAAGAAAAGAAAGAATACTATAGTTGATTTGTTTAGATACTTAACTAAATCGAAACAATCTTGATACATCTTTTTATTGAAACATATACTTTGCAAATCAATAGGTATAAAAATAAGCTAAGTATTTGTATTTTGTATTTGAAGATAAGTAAAAATCATTTTCTAAATGTACCTAAGCAAATGGACTATAGTGTGAGAATTACGTAACATTCCTATCATAATTCTTTTTTTTAATTTTGGGAATAATAGAACAATATTTATATATAAAAGAAAAGAAAGAATACTAGGGCTAATTCTCTATGTAGATGGATAGGTTTATCATAAACTACAACAAACTTCAACTTAGAAATATATTATAGATTTATTTTCACCCAAAACCATATAACCTGTGAAGATGATTGTTGTTATTATACTTACAGTTCTGTATGTGTGTCAGAATGTGTATTAGATTTTTACCTGCATGTGTCAGCTGTGTGTATGATCAAATTTTCATCACAAGGCAAGCATCCCTTGCATTCCATACATGGTGGCTTAAGATCATAATAAATATTAGACAACATTGCATACGTTGCTCCAACCTCAAAGTAACTAAAGCACTTGTGTTATGAAAACCGGAAACAACGTCCAGTATCACAAACGTCCAGACCCGACACAATATACAAAAGTAAATTGTTCTCCCGGCCGGGGATCGAACTCGGCACCTCAAAAATGGCGTCACCATGAAAAGCGGTGTGCAAGTCACTCGACGACTGAGGTCATCAAAATTTAAATTTAAAACCAACAACAATATTTGTCATGTTTTGACACTTGAGATGACTATAATCATTCTGTGACGAGAAGTAATTCCTTAGTAAGTATTCCTTTAATCAACAGGGCATTGTAAAAGTAGGAGCAGTTAATGCAGATGAGCACAAGAGTTTAGGATCAAAATTCGGAGTCTCGGGCTATCCTACAATCAAGATCTTCAAGGGTCGCGATCATTCCCAATACCAGGGTCAGAGAACTGCCAATGCTATGGTAGAAGCCGCACTCCAAGCAGCGAAAGAAATGGCCTTTGCACGACTCGGCAAGAAATCTGGATCCGGAGACAAGGTAAAATTATTAAACATGCTTAAACCTCATCAAAAGGGCAAAACCACACCATACCAACAACGAATCATCAATAAGTTTTTAGATTACATAGTACAGTACTATGATGTTTCAAATATTGTGAAGCAAAATTGAGTCTCTGTGCTACCTTTACTAAACAATACTCGTATTTTATGTTATTTGAGTCGTTTTCAATGCTGCCTCTCATAACAGGACAGTCATGTGAGACTTGGTGTGTTACCAATTCTGAATTTCATATGTTTCCTCAAGGAGTACCTGATCTATAATGCATTTAAAGTGTTTTATTTTATTTTATTACTGATCAATTTTTACATATTATTGATATTTAAACTAGTAAGGTATGCATAAATTTAGATTAACTCAACGTAACATTGTTTCCTTTATCGATAATAATCAGTAATCGGAATTGAGGGAGTTCATTTACCTAAAGTGTTAACGTTTTCTTAGCATGGACATACCCATTTTGTCATCAAAGTTAATAAAATTTCCTTTTTTTAATTTTTACTGTTTATTTTCTAAATATTCCAAAATACAGGATGTCTCATGTTTATTTTTTAAAAGGCAAAACTATTTAAATACGTAATTACCCATAGAAACACAACTACAGTATTATTTTTTGAGACAATGATTTGTAGCAAATACTTCTTAATAGGAAATAATAATTTGTCGCCAATGATACCAAATTTAAAAAATAATACGCATATTTAAATATAATCATTTCCAAGAAGTCCCGGTATTTGTAGTACGTAATGTCCGCGTTATTCTTTAGTTTAGCTAAATTAAACCCCTCAATTCCGATCACTGGTAATAATGTATTTTATTCATAATTCTCCAGCTTCACATATTTCCTACATACAAATGATTTTCATACATAAATTCGCCATTTCATCTATTGAGTGATTATCAACTTTGTACAATAAGTCTTCAATAAACACTTGTCCTATAGCCTACTATTGCTCCGAAACCTTACGGCCACTCAATTCCATGGAAAACCCAGTTAACAACAGAAAGTGTCAAAATAGTCAATACTTCAAGTATAATGCTTAGAAAAAACAAAATAACAAAGAAAGCTAAGAAACGTACCACGCCTCGAGCCGCTAAAAAACCTACAGGTAAAGTTATGAACCTAAATACAATCATACAAAAGACTTCGAAAGTTATTAATAAAGAAGATAGACAGAAACGAAATAGTAAACAATCAAGCAAACTCAGAACACAAAAGCCAAATTTTCAACAGCGATGGGCCGATAAATACCTTAAAGGTGGAGTGTTACAGAAGAATCAAGTCATCACACAAAGTACAAAGAGACTATTCCGTAGTCTACAAAACCTACAAGCACACTTATTCAGAAAAAATTTAAGCCAGTCTCATCCTAAAATCATAAAAATTCGTCGGTATTTTATTGAAAAAAAGAAACCGCAGATTATGCCTGTGACGTATTGACTTCAAAATAACAATAACATATTAGCGATGCACAACTTTGAATGTTACTAATACTGGTCATTCGAATGGGCAAATCATTCATTTAAGTCGAATCTAAGCATAATCATTCGACGTCGAATGATTACAAATACCGAATGCCCCTCGTGTCACGCGTCGAATGATTATTATGTTGGAAAACGAGTCGAATATCGAAATTATACGTTATCGCGCATCCCTATAGCATATGGGGCACAATTTAAGGAGTCACCACGTTTATCCCCACGGAATCGCATTATAGCCGGTCAGATAAAGCTTTATGTTCATGTAATAAGAGCGAAAAAGACGATTCTCGTTTCGCTTCCGCTCGAACCGCCGATGCGTACGGCACTACGTCTGGCGTAACGGGCTGTGATCCTCAACTGGACATCCAGACGCCTATTTAACGTGTTTAGTGTAGGGTCCTACTCGTGCCACCCATGCTCTTCCAAGAGCAATCTCATCGCCCTTCTGTGTTTGCTGAAGCTACATCGGCACTCCAAGTCTCTTTGCCCTGGAGTTAGCCACGCCGGTGCATTGTTTATAGATTGAAAAGGTGTTTATTATAATGGACCCTGACCCATTAAAGCTGCTGTTAGAATGGACTGCTCTTTTGAGCTTAATGAATTTACGAAATAGACTGGCGTTACGCATGGGAAGTGCTTCCATAGCCTGTCTACAAACCTTAAGGGTTGTCCATGCGTTGTTATGAAAAAAATTTATACCGTTGTGTATAGTGGCTCTTGATCATTGGTAGGGGAGGGATACTATAGCTTCTGGTCCTACAGCGTCCATTTCCGACTCTTGTCTGGCCAGGTCAGTCTGTGTTCAGCTTTTTTTGACCGCTTTGATGCGAACTCCTTGTCGATAAGTGTGATGACTCCCTCAAACGCCACGCGTAGCGAGTATTACGTAACTATAACGAAATTCTTATACTTTGAAACAATTATTGATTTTCTAGAAATCGACATAAATCTGTTATGAATTGCCAGGGAACCCTAAGAAGTTCATACTAGACATTTTTGCAATTTGCTAGTAGTTATGATGCAGCCTCATACGTCGACGGTGTAGTATCTTAAACGACCCATTTACTACATGCATGGCAGTCTGCCGCGCAGGCAGGAGATCACACACTATCCTACCCTCGTATGGAGTCTCGCATGGTGCATTGCAGGATTGTAGGATGGATTGCATGCTGCGACTACATTCATAATCCTGCATTAGGTTGCGGACTGCAGTGCAGGGTAATGAATGCCCCCTTTTATAAATAGAGGGTTTTAGGTATAATTCGTCATGCTGGCTCAATACCGGATTGGCAATTAGTATACTCCATTATAACTAAGGTGGAACACAGAAAAGCCTGTGCTTTCCTGCAAAAACTATTCCAAAATAATTTTAAGTTTCATATTGCACCTTTAAGTCCCTTCAATGTGAATTTGACTAACGTTATAATGGGACTTGATGATATTTTTTGTTATTTCGAAATGATGACAAGTCTATAATATAATAATCTTAATTTCCATCATATTTCCACGTGATTTTTGTTGGCCAAGCACTTTGTTTTTGAGACTTCGTTCATGTTTCAATTTAATGTAAAAATTTAATTAAAATGTAATTGTACTCTTGTACTAAACCGTTGCTACCATTTGTATATAGTTGTTACCGAGCCATTTGTAATTTAATGTTGCATGTATTTCCACAATTGTTACCATGCTAACTAATAGAGGAGGAATGCCCGTTGTTTTCTATAAAATGTGTTAAATATATAAACCGTGTGAAATTTAACTTTTATTACTTTGTCACTTATCAATAAAAATTCTAATATTGTTTTCTAAGAATAATACTGTGATCATAGCTAAAAGGCGGGCCAGAGTGTATTAAAAATATTATATAAGCTTCCCCTTTGATTGAAACTAATTTATGAAAATTTTAAAACCTTTAGGATTGACTGTAAATAAAGCTTAAATCACTTTTAAACAAAACTCCTAAAGTATGACTTATTAAGTAAGTAAGTAAAGTTGAAATTTCTTTAAGGCGAGTTAACGGGGAGGAGAAGGGAGAAAAACGATCAATTGTTTATTTATTTACTATGTATTAACGGTCTTACAAATAATCTCAGTACAGAGTACTAAAAAAACCGACCTCAAAAGTACGTGGAATTACGTCTATTTGCTAAGTTTTATTGAAATATCGCCTAGTTCGCCACTATACAGGACTTGACACTGGAGATAATAAAAATAGGTTCTCACTACGACACTACTCAAAGTATATTGAGAGAAAAACGCCTTGAATGGAAGAAATAGCAAAATCAACCATTAAAGTAATTGCTCCTAAATAAAAGTTAGGCGTTATTTATAAAAATTAATCTTCATGCGTGAACAGCCATCAAAATGAAATGGGACCACTATGGAAGTACCCCCTTTCCAACAAAAAAATAATCATGAAAATCGGTTCACAAATACAGGAGTTATCGCGTAACATACATACAAAAAAAAGAACATACAGTCGAATTGAGAACCTCCTCCTTTTTTGAAGTCGGTTAAAAATATGCAGTACAGCTAAGGGTATTGTCTGAAGAATGTGCTAATGCGTTACACGATAAGATGTACTTTATCTGATCGTATACAATCCTGAAAACAGGCTAAAATAAAAGTCAATATTTTGTAGCAGTAGAGCTCCTTGTGAAAGAGTTCGTCCAGGGAAGTACTGCCACCTTGCCTATTTCTGTCGCCAAGCAGTAATGTGAGCATTACTGCATTCCGGTTTTGAAGGGTAAGGGTGCTAGTGAAATTACAAGCACATGGGACTTATCAACTTATGTCTCAGTGTGACGGGCGCAGTGGCAGTTCCCCTCAGATCTTTGTGATTTAAAGATCTGAGTGACACTGCAAATGTTATGGACAGGCGTGTAGCTTACCATCTTTATAACGTCACTTGACGTTATAAAAAAAAGCGAATTGTTTCATAATAAAATATCCAACTTTGTACATAATTTTTATATGGAGATGTTTCTCTTTAAATGCTACAGAGAACCTGTTAAATTTTGATTTTCAACCGAAGCCATATTAGTTATTTTACACACATTTATCCCAAAATTTGCAAATTTCTCAGCGGTTTGACGACCAAGTCAGTCACCATCGGGCGTTTGTCGACGTCGAATATGTGTCAAATTTTCTCCGCCTGTTTTTATTGTATTCTAATTAATTTAATACGTAAGACGGAACCAAAAGTTCGTTTAAGGCGTTAGATATCTTTGGACGCAGACTGTACTAAAGTTGCCACGAGATTAAATTCCAGTCAATGACAAAGTGCGTTGACATGATGTTATATCAACGTGTAACCTAATAAATAACGGCTACCAAGTAAACACTTTGTCGGTTAAAGATAACTATTAATCTACGAATATTTTTAGACCACTTGAGGGCGTGTATGCGCCATTTCACTTTTAATCCTTTTTTATATTATCGAAGTATAATCCTTATCCTTTCTAAAATTTATTTTAAAAATACGTTATTCACACACATTTTATAAGCTTAACTGATATCGTAACATACCTAAATTAGGTTTTAGTGTATTTAACTATTATAAACTACAGCACCGGCACGCTATGATGGCTGTTTTGACAGATTACAATAGTGAGGTCAAATCTCAATTCATTATCGAAAAAAATATAGCCAAATGCGAGTTGCATCTATAAGTTTTTACATTTATAACTAGTATTGCAAGGGGTAGATATTTAAAAAATGTTATTAAAACATAAATAAAAATATCTTACTATATCGTCAAATCAAAACAGCCTTGTTTTGCATTCAGCTTTGACACGAGTTTGCCGGAGGTAGAAGTTGTGCTGGCCAGCGATTCCATTAGTGACGATCGTATTAGATTTAATTTTTTTAAATATCGAATTTCGAAAAACAAATGCCGAGTTGTGTCGTAAAATTATACATTCATAAATTATACTGCACATCACTATTGACAACAATGGATGTACATCAATGACCTCCTTCAACGTAGTTATGAATTAATACGAAAGTTGATGAGCGGACAAACGCCAAAACAGCCATCATAACGTGCCTGTATTAACTGGTGCCTACAATAAGTACTTCGAATGTGCTGTACTACTTACTTGAGAAACGATTGGTTCCCCATACAAATTTTCATCCTCTACTTCAGCCCCTTCCAAGACTTATTTTTGTGACAAATCGTCCTTCTCCTAGGTCTCATCTATCTCTATACCAAAATTAATCAAAATTGGTACAGCGGTTTAGGCGTGAAAACGTAACAGATGAGTGTTACTTTCGCATTTTAATATTAGTTTGGATTAGGTTTTCGTATTTACTGCCTTGTCTTTTTTGTTTAAATATTCATGACACTGAGTATTCAAATCATAAAAAGTACTAGTCATAACTGTAACTAAATTTATTAATAGTAACAATCAAGCTATAATTTGTAATAGGAGCCCAGCAGTGTCATCCTAAAAAGATGAGAAAGTTAGGCTTACGATCGCATGCGATCTTTTCGTGCGCGCATAAGCATTTGAATGACGCATGCTATGAACGCAATACATAATAAAATTTGTATTTCCTATCGACACGTTTTATAGTCTCTAGATTTAAATCATCACGACGAAAGACTTTGAAGCCTTGTTAAGATTTAATGGAAACCATTCCATTTGAATATTTTTAGCTTGTTAAAATTGGATCATTAATGTCCAATATGATTGACGTCAACGCCGAATGATCTTAGGTGAAAATTTATAAAAAGTAACTTTGGCTTCGACTAAATTAGTAGCAGTAGAGATCCTTGTGAAAGAGTTCGTCTAGGGAAATACTGCCGCCTTACCTGCTACTACCGCAAAGCAATTTGAAGGGTAAGGATGTTGGTGAAATTACATGCACATGGGACTTGTCAACTTATGTCTCAGGGTAACGGGCGCAGTGGCAGTGCAACTGTTCAGGCGAGTAGCTTACCACCAGGGCGCACGACTTGGTCCCTTCACTTGGTATCATAAAAAAAGTAAATTGTCAGCTAAACAAGTTTTACGTATTTACAAAACTAACTTTCCCTAAGTTCTAGCAAGAAATTACGAAGTAAACTCAGACTTTAATTTTCTTGAATATTTATTGAATTGATATTCAATTTCTTTTCTTTTTTTTTTGTGAAAATATTTCACTAGTTTGTTATAATTATTAATACAAAGATCGAACACTCAGAAAAAATCCTTCAATCCTGCCGGATTCGAACCGACGTCTTCTAGCATACCGTGTCAGACGGTATACCAACCTAAGCCACGGAATGAACCAGCGGACCTCACAAATATCTCTATGTGCTTGCGTCGTATCTTTGTATTTGGTTTTTCAACGACTTTTTAGTCGTAGCGCCATATATGAGAAATCTATGAAAGTTTTATCACTAATTATCTTGCTTAAACTTAGCCAAAGTTCATATTGTAAATACGGAAAACTTTCTTAACTCGCCATCTTTGTTTAGTCGACATTAAGTTCGTTTTATAAGTCTCAGCTTTAGTATAGTTTTAAATTCAAGAAGATCATCATTTCGGAGCTAACTGTATCGATTTGAATCTATTTTAAAACGCTATCATGCTACGTTAAAATGTATACATGAAATATATATACAGTTTTATTTTAAGAAAGTCAGAAATGACATGGTTAAACAAGTCATATAGATTTATCAGTTTTATCACCCACGCTGCGTTGGCGACTCTGCTGTGTAGGCGACATTCGCTCTCACTTCTTACTCGTTGCAATACTATTGGAACACGTCACCAGTGTTCATGGCACCAATTTAGTTTTTATTTTAGCAAGCATAGGTAGCTAATAAAGTTTACTTACCTGTCGTCCTACCATAGCCGAGAAACAAGGTTTTCATGTTTAAGCTTCAGTATTTTGGCAGTAACACAGATTCTGTAAATCCTGTTAGAGCTTATATATACACTGTGACATTTGTTTTAATTTCACTAACGAACCGAATACTGCCTTCCAAACATTTTAAGGACAATTCCATGCATAGGAGTCGTACATAAAGCACTGCCAATGCCTTTTACAACACTAACGGTACCTAAAATTTAGAAAAAAGCTATTTATTTTTTTGTTGTTTTATGAAACAGATAGGTTACGCCGTTTTAGTGTTAAAGGATAATAGGTTACGTATTACAATGTATAAGTTAAAATTTAGTATTTCATCATCTCTAAATCTTTGAAAACTAAAGTAATCTTAAAATGCACGAATTTTGAAAAATAAACTCAGTACTTGCCTCACCCTTTTATGGTTAAAAAATTGTTTAATATCCTTTATATTGTTATAAAAGAACGTATAGTACAGGTTTATTGTACAAAGCTAAAGTGAATAGGCTCTTTCTAGAAAAGTTTGCTCTATCTTCCCACGACGTCCTGATACGCTATTAGATGAGATTGTGGTTGAATGCTTGCCTATACCTTATTTTAAAAAATTCACAACACACCCGATAAATAAAAAACAGTAAAGAAAATGATTTATTTACGACATTTCATGCATTTGTTTCAGTCGGACGTAATAACGTTGACAGACAGCAACTTCAAGGAGCTCGTGCTCGACAGCGAGGACATGTGGCTTGTAGAGTTCTACGCGCCGTGGTGCGGCCACTGCAAGAATCTGGAACCACATTGGGCCAAAGCTGCCACTGAGCTTAAAGGCAAGGTGAGTTCGGGGGATGTTGCTTGAATATCGGGTTGGTGGTAGGGTCTTGGTGCGCAATCTCCAGCTAGCTCTCGCACAACAGGTCTATTGTCAAAATTTTCGAGGTCTTCAAATGTTGATGTAATTGTAAGGGCTCATAGAGTCTCTAAAAACTTCAATTGCCTACCACAGGTCTCTCTCGGGTTGGAAGAGTCTCTCTATTTTTGATGGATGCAAGTGTCGGCAATGTTTCTTATACTTGGTGATCGATACTTTGTAAAGTATGTATATTGTTTCGTATTTTTCTGTTTAGCACCAACGACAAAGAGCTGTAAAAGGTAATGGTAATTAATATCAAAGAATCCTAAAAGATACTTCGTAAATTTCCTATTGTTGTAGGTTTTGACAATCTAAGTTCATAACCGACTTGTTTTGTTTTAATTGTGCAATGACCATTATAAAAAAATGAATAGCCTAGCCCTACCGAGAAAGCGAAAAATTTGTTTTCCATGAAAACCGATAAAATAATAATGAAAGTGATAATTCCAACTACCTATCACTTATAAATATTAAATATCGATATTTGATTAATCACGGCCATGGACCAATTCGTGGCTTAACGGATTTAGGCGGAATTAGCTGATTACTTAATCCCGTACGTGCCAATCCTCGTAGTACATTTTCGTAAAAAAATATTGAATATTCGACGCGACATAAAGGCGTTTTACACAGCTGTGACTTAATGTACAGAGTAAACAAACAACAACTTTTGTTCCACGCTTTTAATAATTCGTCCATCAGGTGACTTACTCGAGATGTTGCCGTTCAGAATTCCGACTCGGTCTGCGCGCAATCAACGATTATTCACTATACCCCTTACAAAAAATAATGTATCACAAAATAACTCTCTAACACAAAATAAGCAAGCACATAGAGAAATTTGTGAGGTCCGCTGGTTCGTTCCGTGGCTAACTTGGTATAGCGTTCGAATCCGGCCGGATCGAAGGAATTTTTTCTGAGTGTTCGATCTTTGTATTAATTCAAATTCAAATTATTTATTTCGAATGTTATACATCCATTTTGGTTGGTAATACAAACAAAAACTGACACACTAATGTTAGTAAATTACAGATATTGACTATGTTTAGGGTGCGTGTGAATTTTGGTCCAGTGCTCAAGGAATGAACCTACCCGCCGCTGCCCCTACCACGGATTCTGGGCATCAGGTCACTCTTTTTCGTATGATGGCAGCGAACCCATATATTTGTTCATACGCGAATATTCCCTAGGCGCTGCAGAATCGGGGCAGCCGCAACAGCATCCTGAATATATTATTATAAACAAATCGTAGGAAGCTGAGAGCTTTCTGGTTGTAATTAACCCATAGGCTACAGATGTAAAAGGTATAGTACACCTAACAAACCTACGGGCCAACATGTTACCCCGCACTGCCAGCGCCTTACGTTCTCTTTCAATGTCTATATTCTCTTCTAAAGACTCGGTGACCCAGTGCCCAAGGTACTTAAATCCAGTGACTAAAGTCACTTGAGAGGCTTGCCACACAGCTTAAACTTCTGGAACGATGTTATAGCATTTGCTACCAGCTTTAAATACAAGCAACTCACTTTTAGTCGCATTGTACCGAAGGCCTTGGGCCACCGCATAAAGTCCACACTTTTCCACTAGCTTCCGAAGTGGACTTATTGACGGACTCGGCAACACCATGTCATCCGCGTAACTGATGTTGTTCACAATAGTAAATTAATAATTACATTTATTATGTTTTGTAAAAATGCATGGAACAAAAGTTATTGTTCATGATGTTAATAATATAGGCGACACTGTGTCTAGAGTTTATGGGTGTCTTTGATATAACAAATTATTATTTTCATGGATTATTGACACTGAAATCGAAAAAAAAAACATTTCCTTAAAACTATTTTTCCGGATTTAAATCGCGTATATTTGTTTTTTCAAACAAACCGACGTTTCGGGCCCTTTACAGGTCCCATGGT